TTCGTAAGTTGTAAGTGTGCATCAAGAACACTTCACCAAAGATCATCACTTTTGCGTAAGCTACTCTCTAAACAAGGTGATTAACTTCATTTAAAGATAATCCTTCACTCCTTAACACTCTATTTCGTGATCCATGCCCATAGATCTACCTTAAGTTCGAAAAGCTCCACTCAAGAAGCTTCTAAGGCCGAGAATCTCTCTCATTCTTTGTAACGACCCAATTTTGAAAGTAAAATTTTCGTTTTAAAATAAGCAACATGTTGTCATACATTAAGAAATCCAGTTATAATTGTTTTCAAAACATAAGTCAAACACAACTTTATTCCAAACATCAGAGTGTCCCAAAACGTCTGTGAGAGGGTGCACGCCGCGTCATCACGCCTTGCCCTTGGAACCTGAAGTACCTGAAACCATAAACAAACCTGTAAGCGCGAAGCTTAGTGAGTTCCCCAGAGCATACCCCACACAACAACCACATAACATGCAAGCTATAAAAGCTACCTCTACCACATACACATATCTATCAGTTATAAAGCTACCTCTACCACATAACACATATCAATTAGCTATAAAGCTATCTCTACCATTAACCACAATGCTATCTCTACCCTTAGCCATACAGGCTATCTCTACCACTAGCCATACATGCTATCTCTACCGTTAGCCTTACAGGCTATCTCTACCAGTAGCCATATATGCTATCTCTACCATTAGCCATACCGGCTATCTCTACCACATGTCAATGCATAACAATGTCACAAACCTCTACACAACAAGTATACCAACTAACATAAAATGGGCCGGCCTTGGTGCCTTAGACCCTTTGGTATAGTGAGAAGACTCACCTCGAATGTGGAAGCTTCCTAAAGAAATCCTTAGCTGTTGCCCTGACCATCAATACTGAAACGATATACCCAATTAGCAATTAGGGCCCATACCATAATCCTTAATCCATGCATGGGGTAAAATGACCATTTTACCCCTGGCCCAGCATGATCCAAAACAAAGGCCCAATGCTCCAATCAAAACCCAACACTAGGTAGGCTTTCCAAACCCACTAGTGGTCCACTAATGGCCGAACTTGCTCAATTGGGCCCAATACGTTTAATGGGCCTTACCGTAAGCCCAAACATATTCCTGGCCCAAAACATCTGACTCCTGATGGCCCTTTGAAGCCCAAAGACCCAAAGTCCATTGCTTGGCCCAACCCGAGGCCCAAAATACTACAAGACCAAACTTGATGAGTACGCGAGGCGTACTCTTACGTACGCTAAGCGTACTGACTGGGAGTGGTGTACGCGACGCGTACTTGCATGTACGCCCAACGTACTCCTCTGTTAAGCTACTTCTCTATTAAGTGCATGGTACTCGGGATTTCCAACATCAAACTTCAGATCTAGGTCCATTAAGACGTCTTAAGGCATAAAGTTGGCAAATTTATGCCTTTG